ACCCTGACTTTCCTCAACTTGTGGGAACCAGGACCATCCTGAGCGACCCATGCCCCGACCCCTACTCAGCCTTGGCCCCGCAGGACAGCAGGGTATGAGGTCCTCAGTCCCCTGAGGCCTAGGGAGTAAACACCAGTGACTCGGAGGCAGAGCAGGTCCGTGTGCCACCCCCCACCACCCCGCCAGCCCCTGCCAAGTGGGCTTAGAGCTGCAGGGACCCCAGAAGGGGGTGAGAACGTCGTGCGACCGGGTGTGTGCAAACTGTCAGGCAGCGTGCTCAAAGCTGCCTCATTCGTTTGGATTCCATAATCAATCTGTCTGTTCGAGTCCATTATCTCCTCGTTAGCTCTGCAGGGGAGGGGGTTAACTGCTGCCCCACCCAGAGGGACAGCTCAGCTCACCACTCTGCATGCCTTCCAGTCCCCAGCCCCAGTCTGCCCATGCTCCACCCCCTACCCCACCGGACCAGACCCACTGGGGGCTTGGAAGTGAATCAGGAAAAGACAGCACTGATGGGGAGCATTCAGGAGCCTGGGTCCTGCTTTGAATGCCCAGAGTGCTGAGTGCACAGGACTGGAGGTGGCAGCCTGGATCTCAGGCCCCCTCCCATCATGCAAACACCTAGGTCCAGACCAAAGCCAGGCCTTCTCCTCTCTTCATGGTCTCTCTAGCGCCATTAGAGAGCAAGATTGAGTATCTTCCCATTAAGCACCATGAGCTATCCGAGTAACTCAGTGCCAATTATCGCAGGCTGCTCAAGAAACTCCCAGACATCAATGGCCCCTGCCTAAGACACCTTCCAGCCCGTCACCGCATGAGGCCAGGGCTCCTTGTCCACTCTCTAACCCCAGGCTGCAGGAGGAAGATATTCTAACACTTCATCTCTTCTTCTAGAAGTCTTACTGGCCCCACCAGCCACATGGAATACTCAAATATTTTCTAGCCATCACCATGTGATGCTTGAGTACCTCTAGGCCAGTTATTACAGACTACTCCCATGGGTTCACCAGCTGTTAAAAAGTACTTGAGCATTCTGTAACCAATTACTGCAGGATGTCAGAGTACTGCAAATGCTGGAGATTCCTCCCAGTTTTGAGTTGGGAAGGGAGGACAGTCTCTCAGCAAGGGCCCTGACTCCTTGCTCAGAGTAAGGAGATAAGGATGGTGATGGAGATGGGGGTGGGGAGAGGGAAGCTAGGAGGGGGGGGTCTCATTTCCTACATGCAAATCAAGAGGTGGTGGGGACAAGAGATGGGGGGGAAAATGGGGAGAAGAGAGCTCAATCACCAAGCTATGGCTCCTCACCACCTCCCACCTATTCCAGTCCAATCCTCAGTTCCAGGGGGAGGAGTTGGCATTGCCTGGTCATGACGAGAAACCCAAAGGGGCTGTTTTCTCCTTGCAAAGGGGAAATGGTAAGGGTGCCAAACCAGGGGTGGGGGGAGCGGAATTCTCTGCAGCTAACTACCCCCTTCATTGGGCAGAGGGTGGGCTTCTGGCTGAGCTCCAGGAAGCGGTTTCTAGAAGGCTAGGCTCTCTCAGATATGGTCCACGGAAAGCCTCCCTTGCTGGAGTCTCCGAAGCCAGCGCCGCAGCTGCCCTGAGCCCTAGGCGACGTCCAGGCAGTACCTGCGGAGGCTGCCAGGGCAGCGGAGGAAAGCTGAGGCACAGCCGAGGGCCGCGCAGTGTATCAGCCTCCCGCCGCGCCCGCCCCTCCTGACCCAGCAGGCAGGCTGCAAGTCCGCGCCCACGGGGCACGCTTATGCCCACCAATCCTCGCGCCCCCTCGCCCGCCAGACACTCACAGCTCCGTCAGGTTCTCGGCGCCCGGCAGGTGGCGGAGGCTATCTAGGGT